CATAACAGGTTTGTACTTCTGATCCTGAAGTTAGCAGCTAATGCTTAGCCCATGGGGCCATCCTGGCTCATAAACTCTCAAAGATTGATATTTGGAGGGGAAAAAAGCCATAGCTATAGCTTTATTTCCATTAGTGATCACAGTGCTGTGGCAATCAAGTTCTTACTCTTTCCTCCTCTGTTGATTCTGCAGAGTGGTGTGATATAGTATTGGTATTCCATTACCATCTAGTCAGTTCTGACTCATAACAACCTTATAGGTGAGTGAAACTGCACCATCCCATGGGGTTTCCTAGCTATAATCATTATGTAAAGGAGCCTGGATGGCTCTGTGTGTTAGGGTTGACTGCTAATGAAAGTTAAAGGGTTCAAAGCCACTCCACAGGAGAAAGATGGGGCTATCAGATCCTGTCGAGATTTACAATCTTTGTTACTATGTGACAGAATTGACTCCACGCATTAAGTGGGTTTGGGGCTTTTGAGTTTAATCTTTACAGAAGTAGATTGACTTATGTATCTCCCATAGAGTAAATGGTAAATTCAAATCACTGGTCTTTTGGATAATGGTAGACTTCTTAACTACTATGCCGCCAGGGCTTTAGCTGTTGGGAGAGTTTATCTTTCTTATGGATGTAAGTAGACTTTTCTCCTTTAATAGAATTCTTGTGTGATTGGATGCTTTGTTTTGTAATTTAGTCAGAAACATTTTATCTAAGCCTTGGCTTTATGACAATGAATGAAAATCTCTAAACAGTTTGCTATCAAAATATAGAAATATATGAAAATCTGGTAACAGAATATATTTTAAGGTATGCATCTTAAATTTATGCATGGAAGCAAATTATAGTTTTTTTTATCACAAATACAGTCAATGTTTGAAATCAATTGCAACTAAAAATTATAAACTGCAGGATAAACAGTGTTTGTATCTTTAGTCATTTTTCTTATAAAGTTGAAAACATTTTATAGTTATTTTATGATTAAGTTAAAAGGTAAAAACCAATGTTGGACATTACAGCCTATCCTTGTGTGTGCATGTGTTGTGTCTGTGTTTTAACGTAACATTTAAAAAGTAGTAAAAATGACATACCTAAGCTTTTCTACTTACCAATAAGAGAAGCACAGTGCTTATTTGTGAGCCATTTAGTAGTATCAGTAGTGTAATTAAAAATTGATTTTTCAATACCACTTAACACCCTCAAAGCCCAATTCAAAAAACCAGAAAGTAACAAGTGTTGGAAGAGCTGTGGAGAGATAGGGACTCTCATCCACTGCTGGTGGACTTGTAGGTATGTACAGCCCTTATGTAAATCGATTTGGTGATATCTGAAACAGATGGATGTTGAGCTACCAAACGACCCAGCAATCCATCTACTGGGCATATACCCAGAAGAGGAAAGAAACAAACCATGGCCAGACATATGTGCTTCAATGTTCATTGCGGCACAGTTCACAATTATAAGGAGTTGGAAACAACTCAAATTTCCATCAATAGACAAATGGATTAAAAAACTGTGGTATGTAGATACAATGGAGTATTACACAACCCTGAAAAGCAGTGATGAACACATGAAGCACATCACCATATGGGAAGAACTGGAGGAAATTATGCTAAGGGAAGTAAGCCAAGCACAAAAAGGTAAGTACAACATGAGTCCACTAAGGTAAACTTTAAAATGCAAAAGGGATATA